AGATGAGTGGTGACTGGATTGGGAGATCCATTGCTTCAGCTTCCCAGGTCCTCAAAATTTGGCAGTGTGCTATGATTAAGTTGAAAGCCAGGGCTAGAATTTTAGGGTTCTTTTAAAGGGACACTATAGTTACCAGAACAGCTACATCCATTCAGTGTCTCCTCCCTCTGCATGCAGACACTGAACTTTCCTCATGGAGATGCATTGATTCAATGCATCTCTATGAGGATATGCTGATTGTCTAGGGCTGTGTTTGACTTGTGCTGGCTCTGCCCCTGATCTGCCTCCTTGACAGTCTCAGCCAATCCTATGGGGAAGCATTGTGATTTGCTCAGACCACCACTTCTGATGATGTCAGCAGACAGCAGGCAGGTCAGTGGCAGAGGCAGCAGCTGCAGACTTGGATACAAGTAAGATTTTACTATATTTTGGGAGGAAACGGGGGACTAGATGTTGGTTCTAACACTATAGGGACAGGTATACATGTTTGGGTTACTGACCCTATAGGCTGGCCACCTCAGGCCCACCAGAGGCTGGCATTACCTGATGTGGGAGGCGGGCGGCGAGGAAGCACTCTCCTCTGAGCTCTTCTTGCTCAACTTCCTCGCGCAATGATGCCGGAGCCGGAATATGATGTGACTCTGGTGTGGCATCACTGAAAGGCATGCAACAGAGCTGAGCAAGGAGATAAGAGCTCCCTCACCGCCTAAATTGACCGCACGCCTGTCCCTCCAGGGAAATGGAGAATCCACTCCAGCAAAGGTATGGAGGCTTGGTGGATTGTAATTTAAAAATAAATATATATTTGTTAGTGTGTGTCTGTTGGTGAGTGTGTGTGTCTGTTGGTGACTGTTTGTGTGTCTGTCTATTAGTGAGAGTGTGCGTCTGTCAATGAGTGTGTGTCAGTGAGAGTGTGTTTGTCTGTTAGTGAGTGTGTTAATGTGTGTGTCTGTTAGGGAGTGTTTGTCTGTTGGTGAATGTGCTAGTGTGTCTGTGTCTGTTAGTGAGAGTGTGTGTCTGTTAGTGAGTGTGTTAGTGTGTGTGTTGTTGGTGAGTGTGTTAGTGTGTCTGTTAGTGAGAGTGTGTGTGTCTGTTTGTGAGTATGCTTGTGTGTGTGTGTGGCTGTTAGTGAGTGTGTGTGTCTCTCAGTGTGTGTTAGTGAGTGTGTATGTCTGTCAGTGTGTGTCAGTGAGAGTGTGTATATCTGTTAGTGAGTGTGTATGTCTGTCAGTGTGTGTCAGTGAGAGTGTGTATGTCTGTTAGTGAGTGTGTATGTCTGTCAGTGTGTGTCAGTGTTTGTGTGTCTGTCAGTGAGTGTGTATGTATGTTTGTCCGTGTGTGTCTGTAAATGAGTATTTGTGTGTCACAGTGTGTGTCTGACAGTGAGTGAGTGTGAATCTGTCAGTAAGTGTGTATGTGTCTGTCAGTGACTGTGCATGTGTATCTGTCAGTAAATGTGTGTGTCAGTTAGTGTGTCTGTCGGTGTATGTGTGTGTCTGTCGGTGAATGTGAGTGAATGTGAGTGTCTGTCAGTGAGTGTATGTTTCAGTGAAAGTGTGTGTTGGTTAACCAGAGTGTGTGAAAATGACTGTATCTGTCAGTGAGAGTCGGTCAGGAATCGTTCCCACGAACAAGGTGAACAAAATACATGGGTTAACTATGTATTCCGTTCAATATTTTATGTACTTTTGTACTCACGAAAGAGACTGACCGTTAGCACTGATTTTATGGAACTGTTTTGGGCACAGGACCAAATGCATGGTCAGTCAAATAATTTCCTGGTGGGCTCAGGGGGTCTTGGGCCGCAGCGCTGGGCGGATCCTCAAGGCGCCCAAAGGTGTCAAAGGCTATCACAGGGGGGCCAGATGCTGTGCTCCAGTAAGGCAGAGCTCCCACCTGCTTACCTTGATGGCAGGTGCCTGCTCTGCCACTAAATGCTGGTGGCCGTAAGGTAGGGGGACGGAGCAGGCAGGTGGCGAGGGAAGCTGTTCTTGCAGCCTCTCACTCCTCCCTCGCCCACCCTCTGTGATGCCAGGAGCCAGAATATGACATCATCCTGGCCCCGGCATACTAAACAAAGGGCGGGAGGAGTGAGGAGCTGCCCCACACTGGCCCCCAGGGAGGTGAGTGTTTGACTGTCAGTGAGTGAGTGTGTGTGTCAGTCAGTGAGTGTCTGCCTGTGTGTGTGTCTGTCAGTGAGTGAGTGTATGTATGTATGTATGTCAGTGAGTGGTGTGTGTGTGTGTGTGTGTGTGCTTGCCACTGGTTGCCAGTGAGTGAGTGTAGGTATGTATGTCAGTGAGTATCTGTGTGTGTGTGTTTATCTGTCTGTCAGTGAGTGTCTGTGTGTGTGTGTCTGTCAGTGAGTGAGTGTATGTATGTCAGTGAGTATGTGTGTGTGTGTGTCTGTCAGTGAGTGTCTGTTTGTGAGTGTGTTTATGTCTGTCAGTGAGTGTGAGTATTTGTGTGTGTGTCTCTCAGTGGGTGTATGTCAGTGAGTGTGTGCTCGTGTCTGTCAGTAAGTTTGTGTGTGTTTGTGTCTGTCACTGAGTGAGTGAGTAAGTGTATGTCTGTCAGTTAGTGAGTGTATGTCTGTTAGTGAGTAAATGAGTGAGTGTGTGTCTGTCAGTGAGTGAGTGACATGAGGGTGCCTCAAAATGGATCTTTGTCTAGGGCGGCAGAAATCCGTGCACCAGGCCCTGCTTGCATTGGGAGTTGCATAAAGAAAGGAATAGTGCCAGAGGACTCAAGACACTACAGCCGATTCAATGAGAGCTTACAGTGGTTATAGTGCCTACGGTGTTCTTTTAATACAAAATATTTTCACTAGTGAAACATCGACATTAATGAACCCCAAATGCAATTTTTCTTACTGACTTGGTTTCCTGCACCAAGACTTGCTCAGCGCTGCTTACCTCTCTCCCTATCGCTGCTATCAACCTTCACCTCCCTAAAACTGTAGCCTTTGCTACCAATCTGCTTTATAGCCAGTCCAATCCAATTCTCCTCACAGAGGGATAATGGGGACCTGATGTGCATGCATAGCTCACGACAAGCTCATCCAGCTTCACCATTGGAAAGCAATGTATCAAGTTTGACTGGGTTACTGCAGCAAGAAGTGCGTATAGTGGCTGTCACTATGACAGTTCTTCAAAACTGCAATGTTTTACTTTGCAAGGTTAAACCTGCAAGACCACTAGACCCAGGCCACTTTATTGCCTGTCTGACTTTAGTGGTCCTGTAAGCGGAAATGTATTGCTTTCCTTAGCAACTTTTTATTATTAGTACTATTATTAATAGGTACATGCATAAAATATAGTGTAATGATTAAATTAAGCAATTGTATTACAGACAGACAGACAGATAGATAGATGTAAAGCTAGTTTTAGGAATAAACAGTGCATAAAAAAAAATTACAAAGTTCTCTTGTCTCGATTATGAATAGGAGCATTGCACAGTGCTGACATTATATCTCACATCCCGGCACATTATCTCTCGAGACAGCTATTCTGCCAGAATTAGACCATTGATTTGGTAATGATATCTGCAAGAAGCAGCGGTTGAGAATGCCTGTCTCCTGAAATCTGCAGCCATCTGCTCACCTGCCGGTAATCCCAAAAATCATTGCCATAATATAGACATGATAAAAACTTCAAAGCAGTAGAAGTAGTATCAAATGAGAAACCACTAGGAAGGCAGCTGTGTATAACTGGCTATGAATAATAGCAATGTAGACATCATAGGTTCAAGGCGAAAAAATAAATAAAAAAAATTAGACTCTGCCATCTGGTTCCTCTAGCTATCAATCAGTTTTTGCTGCTGCAGCTGCTGTTAATTTTTGCTTTAGGAGATATAGGGACATCAAAAATAAATAAATAAAGAACGTAACATGGCATCGATAGGCTCAGCAGCTGGAGTCATCGCTTGTCATCATTTGCTGCAGAGATTAAACTGTAATCTGTTGTATTAGAATAGGTATGTGAGCTTTAGTAGTGGTGATAAATCCCATCCAATCAAACATTTATCTTACTACAGGATATAGAAATTTGATTTATACCGTCAATGATTTTTCAACCCTGACCACTAAAGTTATTATTAAATCCACAATTCTAGTTTTTTTGAGACATAGATAAGGGGGGAAAAAATGACATGTTTCCATGTTTGATGAAGAAAAAAACAGGAATTTTTAAAATTTTCTTTTTCTACGGCATTATTAATATGAAATATAAATAGATAGATCTTTACTGATAATGTCATCATAAATGAGGATATAGAATTGTGAGATTGGACCATGTTGCCATAGAGAGTATTAGTGATGACCTGCCTGAATTAGATGTGTTACTTTGTTATTGTTATATCACTTACATTGACTCACCTGTTACACTTTCCACGTAGATAACTGCTGCAAAGCATTGGACATTAATTATTTTTAAAATGATTATTGCTAAATAGGAAATATTGACATTCATGTATAATGTAACCAGCAAACTGATAAGGAAAAAATGTAAAAAAAAATATTGTAAATGTTGTGTCCTTTTACATTGTGTTGCAATAAGAAGAAAACAACCTAATGTTGTATTGTTGATCCTGTGGTGGGAGATCAAGATTCTTCTACATTGCTTTAGTAAGTCATATTTTCTTGCTAAGAGTGATTGTGCATTACAATAGTCCTTCTAAGGAGACTATAAGGCACACTGGTATAGTATTGCACAAAATAATAGCAACCAGAGGGGGGAGATATGGGCTCGGGGCACAAACCTAGAATACATTTTAAAGGAGCACTCACAGCACCATAACTACTACAGCACATTATAGTGGTTATGGTGCTAGGAATATACTGGCAACCTCCTCTCCTATTGTAGTCAGTGGTGTATTTTGGATTTGTGCTGCCCTAGGCACAACTAAATTCGGGCACCTCCAAAATCTAAATTAGCCCCCCTAATTCATGTCAAGGCCATTTTGACTGTCAGACACATGCCCTTATTGATACATGCACTGATATACACACACTGACAGATACACAGTCATTGGCACACACATACAGTCAGTGGCACACACTGTTTAACCAACACACACTTTCACTGACAGACACACACTGACACACCCACTCACTGACAGGCACACACTCTCAGATACACATAAAATGACATACACACATTGACACACACTCACAGGCACACCCATTCTCACTCACAGACACACACTGACAGCTACACTCACTCACTCACAGTAAGGTGGACATCCCCAGAACACGAGGCAAACAAGGCATTTGTCTGGGAGCTTGGGGTGGCATTTTTTGGTGCCCCCCCTGAAAGTGCCGCCCTAGGCAAATGCCTTGTTTGCCTTGTGGTAAATACATCCCTGATTGTGGTCACCTCCAAAGTGGTATCTGAAGCTGGGGTGCTGGGCAGGGTGCTTAACCCCAAAGGGAATCTGGTCTGGATTCCAAACTTACAAAAACGAATTGGAGGCACTCCGGAAACATGTATTTTGCAGGAATAGTGCTGTCGTAGTGACCAAAATTCATACATAATACAGATTAAGTTACAGCGCATATATAAAAATAAATCTTTACATTTTATAAGGCTACTTAGAATCAGGTGACCCCAGGTATATATTTGAGGAGGTTTTGGATCGTCTTTAATTATAGTTTCCGTACAGCAGATATATGAATTCCATTGTGAGTTTATACATCAAAGCACTATCACTTTAATTATTTAGTTTTGACACTGCATTTTTATCACATTAATTCCGAACTATATTTACTCACAATGCTCTTACAACAGATTATTTAAATACACTTTAGCTTATTTAGCACTAGCACTATTTGATATGTCTCCCACATTTGAATTAGTGTATTGGGTACTGGATATTGGGGTACTGTGAAGTAATGGTGGGGTTAACACAATATGACCATATGGTGGAAGTGAATCCCCATATTTATTTGCTGAGATAGGTGAGTTTAAGTAGACTTATAAAATGTAAAAATGTATGTGTATGTGTGTGGTGTAACTGTATCTTTATTATGTATAAAAACAAAAGTTAAACCAGTAGAGGAAGGGTTAACATTCATAAGGGTTCGTTCATGTTTTATTTTACTCATAGGTTGTTCAAATAACAATTTCAGCCGTCTCAGTGTTATAAATACTGCAAACTTTTATTTGGCAACAAGTTCTCCTTTGCCCCTAGGGTTTATAAAAGCTGGAAAGGCAACACTACAAAAAAAACATGATTTATATATATATATATAGATATTCCAAGTAGCAATATCTTTCAAAGAGGAATCATAATAAAAACACACCCATATCACAAGCATGCATAAAAAGAGTTACTTTAAAGAGACATTCGACTTTTACTTATTTTATAGAAATGACACTATAGTCACCAGAACCACTACAGATTATTGCAGTTGTTCTAGTGTGTTTCAGAGAAAGGCAGTATTTACGTTGCTGCCTAGTAACACCTTTAGTAGCCTTTACTCAGAGCGTGCATTTTGCCGTGAATGCGCAGCAGCCTCAGAATGCTTTCCTATGGAAAAAACATTGGATTGGCTGAGATCATCAAGTCTGATGATCTCACCATGGAGGTGGAGCCAGGCAGTGCCAGCTATGACGAGGAGGGCAGGAAAGCTAAACAGGTAGTTGAACACTGTAGTGTTAGGAATAAATATTTTTTATTCCTGACACTATAATGTACCTTTAAAATAAAGAAGCTTGTGAATGATGAAAAATTGACAGGACGGTATGTTTCCAAATACATGCCCCTTCCATACTCAGCATTCCAATACTGCTGTTTACAGCTGGTAAGTTTGAAGGCGCCCCCTAATGGCAGTTGCAAAGTTTGTCCTTAAACTCAATGTGAGCTTGAAAGTCCTTCACCAGTACTGCAATGAGAAACCTTCATTTTTGGATATAATCTTTAAATAGGAACCTAGCCTTTTATCAGTTGAATATGAAAATGAGATAAACTCATTGCAGAAGCAGCCTGATTGAATCTCTGATAACATAGTATGTATATTAGAATATACATGTTATATTTCCCAAACTTTTTTATCTTTCCTTATATTCAGCAGCAAAACTTTAAAGAGATTTTTATTTTTAACTCACTGTAGACCATTTAAAATAAAAATACACCTTCAAAGGGCACTCTAAGCACCAAACTAACTTTATCTTTATTAATTGGTTTTGGTGTATAGATCATGCTCCTGCAATCTCACTGCTCAGTTTTTTACCATTTAGGAAAGAAGAGAGGAAGTAAATACATAATTAAATTAAAATAAATAACATATTGCATTAAATTTCAAGGAAAGAGCAAGGTATGTCATCCACATCTTCAATCATCTTTATTGCATCACTGTATTGTTTTTCTTGTATGTATATTAGTTCTACCGTATCAATTATTATGTTGCATTTAATGTTAAAGATATTGTTGTACTCTATGCTGTTACAATGATTATTTGGTTTAGGATATGTTAGTATTTTTATCTTTTCACGTATTAATTTGTATTCTTTCCTACTGTTGCCTTACATGCTTCCTCATTTGTGATGCTTTGTAAATTATTTTGACTTTATATAAAAATGAATAAAGAAGTAAATAAATAATAAAAAAAGAAAATGAAGCTCTAGAGTTCTGCTTGTCGCATCACACGGGAGCCTTGTGCTCGCACCCAGGAGCAGAGTCCGAAAGTCCCTCCATGTAAGCACGTTTTGTATGCTGAAAATCAGGAAGTGTAAGTACCTACTCTCAGATTGGCAGAGCTTGTAGGTGGACATACAAGTTTCACTTTAAAGTTTTGTTTTGCCCCAGATAAAAAAAATGTAATCGTAAGACTGCTGGTTCAGCATTCTGGTACCATAACTACCGGTACTTAAAATGGTAAAGCTGCCTAGAAAGTCCTTTAACCCCTTAACGACCAAACTTCTGGAATAAAAGGGAATCATGACATGTCACACGTCATGTGTCCTTAAGGGGTTAAATACGCCATAAAAAAGATAACTGTATGGAAATAATAAACTGCATTATTTTAACTAAATTGCATTTGCAGATGTCATTCTAAAAAAGTGGACGTAACAGAAAATATACAATCAGGACAATCCAAGGTCAGAAATTTACACACATGGAGCTTATTTTAATATAATAAATTGTGGAGAATTGCAACAATAATTGCATTAAAGTCCTAAATATTTCAATTTGAAATACAGAGAAATAGGTTTTTGGCTATTTTTATATTTTTACTTAAAACTATATGTTATTCCATATTAATTCTGTGTTTAGTAAATAACCCCTACACTGATTTATAAAAAAAATATATATTTTTTAGAACATTTCCAGCATTACTGTAGGATATATTTTGTCTCTATTTCTCTCTGTTTGCGTCCAATGATCTTGGAAATTATATATTGTATTCCTCTACCAGATTCAGCATAAGTGAGGATTATGAGATGCTGTAATTATGTACTGTATGTTTAAAGTTCTGCTAGACATTTTCTTCTTGATTATGCATTGAGAAAATCAGCAAGATATAGAGAGAGTAAACCTATGTCTATACAAGTGTAAGAAAAAAAGGATTTGATTAATGCTAGGGGGAAAAAAATATAATTATACAAGTGAGGAAACACATTTTATAATCTCAAAACACATTTACCCCAGGAATACATTAATTAATAAAGTAATTGCAATTATTACATTCAGTTCTCATATCATCTAATGAATTTTAAATTGAAACTTATTTTGGTCACTTACACACACGCTGAATGTTGAAATATAATATTATAGATGTATTTAAAAAAACAACAACAAAATACAGTTATTGTAAAACATAAACAATTTAGAGATTATGCAGGTTCTTAAAAGACAATTGCTATAAATAGCAAAAGCAGGATAAGAAAATGGAAAGCATTAAAATAGGATTGTCACTTCACAGTTTTTTAATTATCTTGTTTTTTTGTCCCCCAATATCCTTGCATGTGTAATTTTTTTTTTTAAATGAATTTTTCTTAGTTTACCTTTTCTACATAAGAAAAAGTAGTGACTGCTTTTTCTGATATAGGGAATGATCTGTGGCAAATTTTTCCAATAGGCGGAGCTTAAGCAAAGGTTATTTTCCAGTCGTCAACGTGATTACTAACAAACGCATCGGTCTAAAGAAAACTCACAGAACGGTGCATTGCTGACGTCATGGGCAGACGAGAACAAAATGGAGGTGCCCGGATATTGGTGCAAGGGAAAAAAAAATTAAATAAACATTAATAAAGGCAAATGTCAAAAAGGGAAGAAAAATGCACGAAGGTGTGACTTTAAGACTGCCTATGTTATTCTGTAAATTGAGAAAAATGGCAGAACACCAGCTGCTATTTCCAGTCCTTTAAAAGGGAATAATGCTTCTGTTTACATTCTGCCACAATTGTTATGTAGTGGAAGTCCCACATGTGCCCTACGCGACTGTAGAGCAACTCACCAATTGACAGCAGTGAAATGATGCAACAGCAATCGATCAGTGCTTGGGGAAGCCCCCAGAGGCTGTTACTGGAAGGGTGATCAGTGAGAAACCTAGAAATAGATTAGTCTTATGGTGATTGGTCAAATTCCCGATTATAGGAGCATTTAAATGGCCGACGTATGTTGTTTGCATACAGTAATATTCACTAAAGTTAGAATCGCTGGTAATTCACAGGCAAAATTAATTTCAAATTTAATTTTAAATTTCAAATTTAATGCCAAAATAGCAGATTTGAAAAAAAAGAATAGATTTCTTTTTTTCTAATTGAGCTAGTTTGGCCTAAATTATGAAATTCCCAGCAATACTCTCTCAAGTGAATAACTCTGGCTATGTGTTGTTCTGTTCTTTGCTATATATATCATGAGGCATTAATGGAATCTTGAAAATGTTGTGGAAACCCCTTCACTGAATTACATTTTTAAGCCGTTAAATTGCATTTGGGGTTCATTAATGTCAATGTTTCACTAGTGAAAATATTTTGTATTAAAAGAACACCGTAGGCACTATAACCACTGTAAGCTGTCATTGAATCAGCTGTAGTGTCTGGAGTCCTCTGGCACTATCCCTTCATTTCTTAGCAGTTTTATACTAAATAAGTCACCCGCAGCCTAACTCCTCCTAGAGATTTGGCTAAGGCAGAAAATATTTACATTCTTCTAGTCATACCAGCAACGGGTGCTTTTACAAGCTGTAAGAGGTCCACTGACACTCTCAACCAATC